GGACAGACTGGGTTCTATAGCCTTGGATGGCAACTGGTCCAGGAGAAGGACTACTCTGAATTCAAAACCTGCGGAGTGCACCAGGTCTCTGTATTCAGCCCTCTTCAAAAAGTGTGGATGGTCCTGCACGAAACCTTCACTACTATAATCAACTCTCATGTCCTGTTGTCGGGCTGTCGGTTTCCTAGGGACTGATCTGCTTGACCCTCATACGACGAATTCGACAGGAGAGTCGAGTATATATATATATATATATATATATATATATATATATATATATATATATATATATATTTCAAAAGCCTAATATTCTTAAATTTACATACGAACTTAACAATAACAATATAATTACTTTTCTTGATATATTGATATACAAGTACAAGCATACACCAATAATAATACATTTACTATCACACTATATAAAAGCTAACTAGCATAAACAGGTGCACTCTAAACTATAAAACTGAATGTACTATTACAAAACACCGATTATGCAAAATTTATAAACGGTGCAAAATTAACTCTTTCGCAAAAAATATATATATATATATATATATAAATAAAAAATAAAAATAAAAAATAAAAATAATCTACGCTAAATTACAAAACATTAAACAACCTCTCATCAATAACGAATTTCCTAATTAACTTGTTGATTAACAAATTAGACAAGCTATTAAGAACATTAACATGAATAAAAAAGAACATAATACTTTCTCAAATAACCCTAAATATATCAACCCCTTATACCGCCATCAAATACACTGTAACTACAAACAAGGTGAAAAATCTTAAAAAAATCTTATAAGTAGTAAAATATCCCCCCACTGATCACAGTAAAAAAAACAAAAACAAAACTAATTACAAACTATACTAGATTTAATACAACCAACTTTATCATCCCCAACAACTCTTCTCCGTCGACTAATAATTTGCAAAAGACCAACTTTGTATATCAATTTAAATCCCATTTGGGAGATTGTGACAAAAACAAAAGTAAATATACATGTTGGTTTCACGGCAACAACATTATCGAGGAGGCTTACATTACACCAGATTTAACTTCCATAAACCAAAATTTAAACGAACATTCCTGTTCACATTCACGATTCAGAGAAATTTTAATTGGTTATACAAGTATACACCAAAATGAAAATAAAAAAACAAAAACTTAAAATTCTTGAAGCAACATATATACTAAAATTACAATCAACACTAAATAAGATTAATTACGAGTATAGCAACAATGATTTAAAATGCCTAAAGTGTAATTTAAAAAATTATAATATAAATATTTTTAAATACTTGAATTGTAATTAAAAAAAAATTACAAATATAAATTAAAGTTAAGTTATACTTGATAACGTTAATTTTTGAATCAACAGAGCGCATTTCATGCGTATTTACAAAAAAAAAAAAAAAATTAACAACTATTACATTAATTTTTATCTTAGAAACTCACCTCTGAAGATGATCTTGGATGAGATTGAAAGTACTTTCGAAAATAAAAGGAATGAGAAAAACTACGGCGCTTTTCATAATGGGCATAGCATGTTGTATAATCATAGTACGCATGGAAGGTACTTCAAGAGCAGTTCCTGTATCTGTACAATTTGAAACGTATGCAACATTAAGAAATTAACCAATAAATTTGAAAGGTTTAAAATAAAAACTTAAACATAATATATCCAGATTATTTAACCAAACGTGCTTATATATATATATATATATATATATATATATATATATATATATATATATATATATTAGAGAAATAGGAAAACAACGTGGAAATATTCCGTCCATTGCGATTTCATCAGACTCAGATTATGCTTACTTTCATACGACTACAGATGAGCATGGACAAGCAACGATGAGAATTTTAAACTTTTACACTTTGTCATATATCTTTATACCAATATATATATATATATATATATATATATATATATATATATTTGGTTGGATAGATGTGAGTTTGTGACCCTGGGTTTCACGCTTTTTAGCGATCGTCAGACAAACTGATTAATGTTTTAAAAAATTTGGGTTTATGTAGATTGCGTGTATTGGTGTTATCGTGGAAGTGGTGGAGGGAAATTTCATCGTGTTGTCATTCATCGTACGAACGCAAACATCTGCCTGACGATCGCTAAAGCGTGAAACCCAGGGTCACAAATTCACATCTATCCAACCAAATATGTTAGCTCTATCTCTGATATTGAGCGCTTTCTAATAAGTACCCGCGCATAAATATATAAATAATTATACATATATATATTTATTTATATTTATATACACTTTTCACATATATATATATATATATATATGTGTGTGTGTGTGTGTGTGTGTGTGTGTGTGTGTGTGTGTGTGTGTGTTTCACTTGTGAATTGGTTCCCCAAACAATCAATTATTATTATTATTGAAATTAATTTTTTTCTGATATTCAAAGCATGTTCACAGTCCTTCGAATTCGAGAGCGCATAATTTCTTAAATACTCAAACGCAGGTACCCAAAAAATATATATATATATATATATATATATATATATATATATATATATAAAAAGGCAAAGAAAGTTCCAGAGAATAGGTCTTAAGTAGATTTAGTTCCTGTATAGTTCTAGAATATTTTTTTAAAATATACGTTTGATATAATAATAATAATAATAATAATAATAATAATAATAATAATAATCGTATTACTTATAGTAGGAAGAATAAATAGAAATCTGAGGGTGAGGAATGGTCATGATTGTCGTAGTAAAATTGACTATCATATTGCTTTGGTCTGTGAAGCGTTAAAACACGCACATACATTAACTCCTTTATATTATGTTCATGTTGATAATTCGCAGTGGGTCTCGACAGTTCCCTTCTTTGTATTTCAGCTTATCAATGGAATCAAGCAGATAGTTTTCTATCATTCTTGCTGATTTATTATTTGAAAGATTTCAAAGAACGATTGACACTCATCCTTATCTCAGTCTCCTACTGACTTTCAATTTACGTACCTTCTTTCATCTTTATCAACTAAAGCTTGTTTTGTCTCCAACGAATTCTTGTTTCAAACATATTTTTAATCTTCTTAGCTGTAACATCTTTTTGTTTTATTTGATTTACAGATTACTGCTATATATATATATATATATGTTTGTATGTTTGTGTGTGTTTGTGCGTTTGTGTGTGTGTGTATTGGAAAAATGTAGTCCTTATGAATATTTATTTAGAGTTACTGTGAATAAATATTCTTAAAGATTACAGTTGTATTTACATTTAGGTCTCTGTATTCGGCCATTCAAAAAGTGTGGTTGTTTCTGCATAAATCTTCACTACTATAGTTAAAGCATATGTGCTGGTGTCTGGGCTGTCAGTTCCTAGGAACTGAGCTACTTGACTCTTATATGTCGAATACGACGAGAGAGTCCACCATATATATATATATATATATATATATATATATATATATATATATATGTGTGTGTATATATGTGTGTGTGTGTGTGTGTGTGTGTGTGTGTGCGTGTGTGTGAATTACAATTAGTGAGATCCAAACGAATTACCTGATGATCATTTCGTCCATGGAAGATTTTTCATGGACTCATCAATAAAAATACATTTACTGCAATCTTTTAGTAAATGTATTTAAACTACTTTCCCATGAGCGAAATGATCATCTGTATCAAGTAATTCGTTTGCATCTAATTAATTGTAATTCACTTATATGCTCTATCATAAAAAAATTATATTGAGCTCTCTTTTGTCGATCAGTTTTAATATTTTATATTAACAGGATCTACTTGGATTACTTACCCACGGATTTTTTTTATATAATATATATATATATATATATATATATATATATATATATATATATATATATATATGTGTGTGTGTGTGTGTGTGTGTGTGTGTGTGTAAATAAGTTATATTTAGGCAGCAAAAGTATTCCGCTAAACAAATTTGATTAAAAAGAACCGATACTATATATATATATATATATATATATATATATATATATATATGGGGGGGCTACTGACGTGCCAAAAGCTATTGTGAACCGTATGTTCATGTAATTGTAGATAGAAGCTGACGTACTCTTGACGTTATGAAAATGCACACACGTATATCAGTTGTACTTTGACATGTTTTGCATTAACATTTACTTTTTTTGTTTTCTAGAATAACAATCATTTTATATTATGTCTTACTATTTAACCTATAGCTGGTCGAAATACATGGATTCATCCCTTTCCGAAATGTATTTTCGCGTAAGTGAACGTAACGAACCCAAGTGGAATTCAAACTCGCCTCTCCTGTTTCTCATTCTTACACTTTGTGAGTCAGTGAAAACACCGACTAGGCTAGTCATGGCCAGGTGATGTGAAGTATCAGAGTTCGAACAGGGTATGAGAGTGGACAATATAAAAATGGGTCATTACATTTATGTCACTACGGGGACATTCATCGATCTATGATCTCTCATTTTTTTTACCGGGAATAACTGACCGAAGACATTAGCGCTCATCGTGGAGAGCAAAATGGCTGACCACATGTCATTAATGATCCTGGCTAAAGGCCTCTGACTGGAATTATCTATGATAGCAGAAAAGCGACATTGGCTCAAATGTAGGAGGTATCAACTCCAGACCCAAGAGGCCCGTTCAGACTTCTTTAGTTTTCACGAATCATGGGTGCAATAAACCTACCAAGAGGTCCCTTTTGATATCATGACATCGGATAATGAGCCTCACCTGGCCTTGTACTAATTCAACCCTGCGGAACTCTGTAGAAAATGAGGTCTGATGAGTTACGATTTCAGCTTTTAATAGCTCAATGTACAGGCTAGTAGTGATTGTATACTGTAGGTGGGTTCATATAACATGGGTTAGGCCAACTTAAACACATAGATCACTGGCCTCTCCTTTGCACGGCTTAGTTATTCTGGCAACATGTTATCAGACAGAAGTAGCTCAAAATAAGTTTGAAAGCATTCTATGCTTACAGTCATGTCACATTTATACTTCGGTTCCCCGTACGATCACCGAAGTTAAGAAACGTCGAGCCTAGTCAGTACCTAGATGAGTGACCGCTTGGGAATATCAGGTGCTGTAAGCTTGGATGTGCGGGTGGTGTAAGGGATAACGGCTCGGTATCGTTATAGTTGGGTTAGTTATATTCACTTAAGAGAAATTTGGGAAAGCTATGAATCCACATCTCCTCCCTCCAGCTATGGGCTAATTAGTGAGACTTGTATCTTTAAATCATTATTATCTACCCCTCACCCGACAAAAAAAAAAACTTACTAAGAATATTTTCAGGCTTTAAATAACCCACAAAATGTTGATAAACCGTAGAAAATGAATCAATCAATCAAGTTAAGAACATTCTGGAGATTTATGACAAATGATGTGGACGCCCTAACCGATCTGAAATCAACTGAGTATTTATAGTACGTTGGGGAGAAGTAGTATTAGTAAAAATGCGCGCTCGAGCGGTGTAATGGATAGCGGCATGGAATAAAAATTCGGAGAGCCGAGTTCGAATTTCAGTTGAGTTCATTACGTTCATTTACACGTAAATGCCCACTGGGAAGAGTATGAATTCACTTATTTTCCTCCTAGCTATGGATTAAATAGCAGGAAAGACTAGGTTTTATAGCCTTCGTTGATAACCACCCTAGAGATGGTGACTCGATAAAATTCCCCATCTCCCAGCAAGTCTCAGCCATTTGTGAGGATGCATTGGCACATGAAAACGTACAGTGACAGATTCTTCATTCACGTGAGTTACGTTTATTTTATTTTATTTTTTTACTAGTAACAGAAAACTGATTTATCCAAATGGTCATTCAACTTTATATAAAGATCTACGTAAGAACATTCTCAGATCATTTGTAAATAGCTGTGCAGATGTTACCACAGTTTATGGATGCATTGACAAAAATTTAGATGATCAGAGTCTGGCAACTAATCTCTCCTTTCACCTAGCTCTGATAGTTTATCACCGGACAGACATTGAATTTTCCCTTATCATGGTGCTTTTAGCCTTGAACGCTTTTTATGATTCAAGTTCACTCCAGGCCTGAAGTGGAATTCATATATACGATCCGACTCTAAAGATGCTGGGAAAATGGCCAGTTCCTTGTACCATTCTAGAAAGTTTCTGACACTTCCTGACATATTAGATCTTTACAAAAATCAGATCAGATCAGATCCAAAATTGTGTATGCAGCCTTACCAGTGTTGAACGTACCCAATTCTCACTTGAAGATCTGTATCTTTTCCAGCTTGAACATCTGTATCTTCTACGGCTTGAACCAGTAAATTTAACCTCCAGCTTAGGTGATATCGTGAAAAAAATAATGGGTTGTCCTAACTTTGGTACGCCAGTGCAGCTGATGGGTGCGTCTTGAACTTTTTTTTTAATGCTGAATTCACATGTTGCCATTCTACAGACACTGTTTTTGACTTTGGCTCGTTTTGGTGTCGCCACGTCTCGTCACAGGCGGTGATGCAATCCAGGGAACTAACGACATTAGCCTCGGAGTGATTCAGCATATCCTGATAGACTTGATTTCGGTAGCCATTCTGTTCATGTGCGAAGCCACATGGATTCTCCTTCACCCCCTGAAAGCCCTTGCGTCTTAGTCTTGCTTGTGATGAATTGATTAAAAATAATATTTGAACAAAAACTGGAATTTTAGGTACAATTTTATTCGGATGAAATAAGAAAAATACAACGAAAAATTAAACTGACAGAAATTAAATTGTTTTGAACAATAAAAAAAATATTGAAAAATTACAATTTTCAGACACACTGGGTTGTATATTAATATTTTTTTGTTTTATTTTTTCGGTTAGGTTCCTCAACTAGTTTCAGCCGGCTAGCATGTCCACCATCAGGAGAGAAAAAATCCTTCTTGTTAGTAGCAGTGAATTACTGGAATGAATGAATTTCTGAAGAAAATGAACAATATCTGTCGTTTTCATTTGTTTTTGTTTTTTATCGTTAATTTTGGTCAGTCCTTGTGTTGGTCAAACAGCATCTTTTAAGTTGTTTTTAAGATAGAGGCTGGATACATTCATGCGACTCTGAATTCCCTTAGTTATTTTGACAGTTTTATTGGTTCCTGGGAAGGGGATGTGTTTGTGTTAAGTATATGTTATCATTTAGTTCTTCGGGAGTGTGTATGATGTGTGTAAGTATATATATTATTATGGGTGTGTGTATAAGTGTGAGAAGCAAGCATGCCTGTCTTGTGTGGAAGAGAAATGTGGGTAGGGTTTGATTTATCGGATTATATATTAATTCTATCTATGCTATTAAATATGTGATTAAGCCCGTCTGGATGGAATATTTTGAGGCGCAAAATCCATTTGTCTATAATTTTTCTAATGTTATCTTTTGTATCTTTTTCAAATTTTTTCAATTATAGTGAATTTGGCATTGCTTTTAAAATCATCTTTTTCTGAAATGTTCTACAGGTAGTAATCTTTCGTGGGAGCCGACTTAATTCGATTACGATAATTATTAAATCTGTAATGAAAGGGCCATTATATATATATATATATATATATATATGTATATATATATATATATATATATATATATATATATATATATATACACACACACACACACATATATATATATATATATATATATATATATATATATATATATGTGTGTGTGTGTGTGTGTGTGTGTTGTGTGTTAAAAAAAATACTCCTTTGAAAAACCTCAGATGACTCAACTTGTAGACACCGGTGGGCAAATTGGTACCCGAGGAAAAAAATGGAAGTAAAGAAAGAAAGAACTAAAGACATCAGAACCAGACGAAACAAATCGCCAAGTGTCTTAAGTCCTTAGTACAAAGAAAAAAGTATAAAGTCTAAAACGTAGAGTGCTCAATACGCTAAGTAGAGAGGTAAATTTGAATAAATCCTAACTAGCCAGGCAAATATATATGAGAGAAAGAGAGAATATTTCTTGGTCTAAATTGCGTTCAAACTCTGCGTTGTTAGCAGTTTTCATTGTCAGATGAAGTAATGTATGTCAAGACTGACAATGAGTGTAACAACTTCATACAGTAAATAAAGACCTTGGCATTAATAATGGAAGAGCGATTCACACAAATGTACACTCGATCATATTATCAAACATTGTCTCATGCTAGGGAGCAACAACTTTTTTTTTCAAAATATCTAGCAACTAAACAATGTGCAGGGTTGTGGTTTGTATGTCATTTCTGACGATATTAGTCCTAAGTGAATATAAGCCGTTAAAGACGAAATTCGAACCCAGTTTGCTGGGTCCGTTTCTAACCGTCACACTACTTGCATCGTATTTGTATGCAAAATGTCCATACACGGTTTTGCCATCATATATAATTGCGTATCAGTTATGTGCCATACGTGATAAACGCCTAGGCGATCATGTATCTTTCAATACATGACTGACGAGGCAGATTTTTCCAACAGTAGGTTACCATTTCTTTCTGCGGTAGACCAGTGGCCATCAAAGGCTATAGAACCCTGTCTGCTCTGCTATTTACCCATAGCTGGGGGAGAAGATTCATACCTTTCCCAAGGATATTAGCACGTAAGGTAATGTAATGGATTCAACTGGAATTCGAACTCGGCTTTCCGATTCCTATCCATTGCTCCGCTGTTTGGTTTTTAATCCATTGACAAAAAAGACATTAATATACAGATTGAACATAGATCTACCCTACTATATGTATAGAGTCATATATATATATATATATATATATATATATATATATATATATATATATATATATATATATATATACAGAAGGATATCAATTGATTTCCAGCCGTACGATGAAATAAGCATTTATATTACATAGAAAGAAGTTGAAATTGCTAGCTGCATCCGGGAGCTGTATGCTACAAGTTTCTTCTCTCAGCTTTCTGCATTCCAGTCAACGTTGATCTTCCAAAATTTAAATGCAATGTCAGTCGTTATCTTCTGTCTTATTAATTCCTGTTCCTTTATTCTTTCCTAAATAATCTCTTATTCTTTTTCTCATATTCTTTCTCTCTCACTAAACCCTTAGCGTTTATTGGCTTTATTATGTTGCTTAGGGAGAAAAGATTGAAAAGATTACAACAGAATCTTCTTTAACAATGCACTTGATTAACATATGAAAATTCACGAAGATTGAATATTATATAAGAAAAATTTGTAACAAAAATCTGAGGTAATAGCTATGTATCAGGTTATAGACTTATTGATCCATATTTGAACATCAACGTGTGTATAGACATGTATAATTGTGTATAGACGCGTGTATGCACATCTCTCTCTCTCTATGTAGGTAGGTAGCTCTCCCCCCCACTCTCTCTCTCTCTCTCTCTATATATATATATATATATATATATATATATATACATACAGAATCCGCAAAAAATGTATACACACTTCAGGAAAGGAAAACTTATCTTATGTAGTTTTATAAAATTGCGATAACACTATTTACTGTAGTACGATATTTTCTCGACAATTGGCATTCTATTGGTGGCACTTATATAAGAAATTGAAAATACATGTGCAGCAATCTCATTGGATGCTTTGGTCAACATTGCCAAGGAGTAGTTCGTCTTATTAATAAATGTCTGGAAGCTAAAAAAAGAACCATTTTGAGCATCTCTTGTAATTATAGAATTCAAAAGTAACCTGTATTAATCTCGTGATGTCTGAATGTATTTAGTATTACAAGATTACAAGTTTTTCCTTTCCTGAAGTCTGCATACATTTTTTGGTGGACTCACCACCACCCGACTGCAATGAGGATTAACTCTACATCTCTCTGATCAGAGCTCAATACGTACACATTTTAACGAATATGGAATTATACCAACCTCAATACACATTATACTCGTTGAGAAAACCACTACAAACCCTTAATAAAATTAATTATAAATACGGCCGTACTTGAAAATTAAGAATATATCTATTTTCAGCCACTTTTATACCATCTACAACAGTACTTGCATACCATTTGTCATAGTATTATAACAAAAAATCTTCGAAAATGGCCAACAGTTTAATCGAAAGCCCTCGGAGCCAACAAAACTTTATACATTT